TAATTATATAATTTTAATTTAAATATATCTATAAAATTTATAAAGTAATTAAAACACATTAAAATCACATTTAATTGAATGATTGCATGTCTCTAACCAAATATAAATAGATATTTAATTTCAAACTAATTTGGAAATTTATATTAAATTAAAAACTTTTATTTGAAAACAAAAATATATATATTTATGTATGAATTTTTAAAAATTAATGCAAAATATAAAATTAAATTAACCAATAATAAATCATGTTAAAATTATAGTACAGAGTATTACTAATCGATAATTAAAGCAATAAAATAAATTATTTATAAATGTCACATAATCTACATATAACTTCCCGGATGAATATATTTAAAAGACAATAATTATACTGAATGTATGTAACATGAACCATTTAATATTATTTTAAATTATATATTATTAAATTAAATTAGATTATTCATAAATTTAGATTATTTATGAATAAAGGATAAGTTTACAAGTTTTATTGTAAACTACGGTATAATGGCAATTATGAACAAGTATGTTTGTTTTAAATACCAACAATATCGTAATAATTACCCAGTTGATCCAGATCATTGCAAATTAATTTAATTTCATCGTCTGAACACACTTTCATTTGAATAAATATCTCATGATTTTCTATCCATGAGTTGTATTCGTTTTTAATCGCATATTCTGACAATGCTTGAGACAATGCTTTAATGTACTTCAAGGTATAAATACCTAGATAGAATTTACACATAAGATTAGTTTCAATATATTAAACGAGTTGTAAATATCGATATAAGAAATTGGATAATAGTTCAACAAATTTTCATTTTATTCTAAAAATGTCCACATTTTAGAAATAATGGTAATTGCAAGCCAGAGACAGTAATATTTTTAAAAGCCAGTACACTTAAATCTTTGCTTAACAGGGAACTACATCTAAAATGTTAATAAAGTATATAAAGTACACATACAGTACAGGTTCAGTACTTGACACACACTATTGAACTACAGTGAGAGCGGTTCAATGGATTTGCGTTTGTGGACTAAAATTTTTAAAAACAAATTTTTCATTCAATTATTCATACTTTTCTAACACTTAATACATTACCAATAGTCCATTACCTAATTTATGTATTCAAAGATAAGATTGTCTTGCAGCAAGGTATTCACATGAATTCTATGAATTAATATGCTTTGGTATTATGCCAAATAGTATTAAAGCAGAGTTGAAAAGTACTATCCATTCATATCAACCACATGCATTAGTACACTGTATATTACAATAAGTCTTACCTGAATATACTTTCATTTTGCATAACGAATACATTTGTTGAGATATTTTATGTTTAGCCAAATATATTGCATGTTTGTACCGAGGATATTGTGTCGAAATTATTATAAACATTGATTCGTTAATTGTGTTAATGTCTGTCGTATCTACGAACATAAACACTGTAAATATCAAAAGTTTAAACTTTTAAATATTAAACTATAAATATCTAACCATCAGTCATATGGATTATACAAAACGGGTTGCTCTGAATAAATAGTTTGTAAAATATATTACATTTTCTGTCGATAATAGTATTCAATACAGAATTGAATTCTTTGTTTCCAATAATGGGTTTATTTGTCATAAAAGTCTGCAATTGTGATAAAATGTGCGAACATTCGGGTCTTTTCTTCCAATCTGTTGAACCGTTTTTGCGATACTTATTGACAGCCATTGACACCAATAATGCATTCATTTTATGCATCCATTCATTCATATCTTTATTATATTTTGTGTTTGTTTTAATCCTAAAATTGAAATATTATTATTTGTTATACGTGTTAAATTATACATATTAGAAAAAGCTTCGCTCTTATTTATACGCTAGGAGAGGGTTTGGTTACCCTTGTCCGAGATGTTAAATTTTACTTTTTTCCTAAATAAAATTACTGTGACCCTGGTCAGAACCGTGCGAAAGGCATTTGGTCATTCATATTGATGAGTGATTATTAAATTTGTTATAAAAAATTATTTTAAAATGAAACCATACTTTCCGTCCAAAATATCGTTTGTATCGAAACCATAAATTTGAGCCCCAATTAGGGATAGACTGTAGATATCTATTAAATGGTTGTATTCATTAGTCTGGGCTTCTGGTGCCTGATATGAAAGGTCCCCGACATCTGCGGTATGTTCTGCTTTGGATTCTTTAAACGGATCACAATTTGGGACCTCTTTAGACAAACCAAAGTCACATAACTTTATGCGTCCGTCCATTGAAATCAACACATTATCCGGTTTGAGGTCTCTATGAATGATATCCTTTTTGTGCAAATATTGCACACATTCTGTGAGTTCACGAAATATATGAAACGATACATAAAACTCAAAAATACTCATCAATTCATTAAACAATGATTTCTTAGTTTCCAAAACATTGTTGAGATTATCGATACATAACTCCATTTGAAAGTAAAGACAATTGCATTCAATCCATGAATAGTAGTATTGAATCACATATTGTGACCGAAGTTTCAAAAGACTTTGCGTTTCATTCAAAACATTTTGTTTCTCTTTTTCTGTCAACCCTTTCGAAAATTTCAAATATAATAAAAATTATCATAATTTTGAAAATAAAATTAAATATATTTACCATTTAAAAGACATTTCTTTATTGCATATAATTTATGGTCACATTTATTTTGAACTTTATATACCAGTCCATAGCTACCTTCACCAAGCTTATTTATTACATCAAATGACTTTTCAAATGAAATTGAATTATTCAACTTATCGTGAGTTTCTATAATAAAATATAATAATAATAATTAATTCAATGCAAAACATATTGAGGCAAAAATTATGGCATTATTTTAATATTTACCACAAATTTGTGTATTTTGTTGAATATGTGTTGAAATTGTATTAAAAGTGATTTGTAATCCATATGTAAAATAATCATCAAATGATGTATAATTGGTTTCAAACAGATCTTTGCCAACAATTTCATATATTTTATCACCAGATTTGCCCACAATTTGGTTTTGGTTTTGTTTAATTTCATTGAACATAATATGTGATAATATATCTAAACACTTATCATGAAAGTCATATACATATAAGTGACCATGGCTAGATAATAAATATGCCCATAAAAAATCGTGCAGACATGCATTGTGCATATTAATTTCAATTTCTAATAGATATGGTGTTCTTATTATATTATTTCTTAAGCTTCCCCATATAAGCACCTGTCCCTCACAAGTAATAGCCAGTGATATCTTCCCATTGCACTCTATTTTAATAATTGGATATTTAGTTGAAAATTTAACAGGAGTTGGATCTAATGGAAAACTTTTATTGCCACAACCAACCTGTCCACTCATATTACTCCCCAACCCGAATACCTGTCCATTGGATGTCAACACAATTGTGTGACTATAACCACAACTTATTTGTGAAATAATTAAATTGTTTGTTTGGAAATATAATATAGTGCCCGGTTTATGGTAGTCATTCCAACCCCTATCCACATGCCGTCCCAATTGTCCCCAATCATTGCGACCGAAACTGAATATCACATTATTATCCATATTCACAGCCAATACAAAGTTATATCCATTGGTAAACTGATGCATATTTTTATGGCATAATTGTGGCACTGGTTGTGGTGTATAAATGAGTATGTCGTGTCCTAACCCGAGCTGACCCTTACTATTAGATCCCAATCCATACACCATATCATCAAATGTCACAAACAGTATGTTATGTCCGGAATTGTCTTTGAAAATATAAAAATATTTAATTTCTTGTTTTAAATGTTGTGGTATTTGATCACAAATTTTATAATTATTAATTATAGTTGACATTTTAAATAATGAAATATTTTTCACAAATAATAATCATGAATTATAATTATATTAATTTAATAATCAATAACCATTATTTGTTTAATAATTATACAAAATGATGACAATAGTAATTAATTTTCATACAATTTACCCCACAATTGTGTATATAACTATAATATAATAACACGTATCATAATTTAATAAAGAAAAACAAATATGGATAACATGATTATTGCTAAGCAAGTAATCAGTCAGATTGTTGAGATTATTAAATATTCTGTACAATAGCGTAGTGTATCTGTACATACAATACGTGTCTAGTATTTGATATAATTATTAAATAAAATTACATAATATTTTTGTCGAGAAATAATTTTTGTTTTAATAAGTTCATACAGATCATTTTGCGAGCATAATTGCATTTGAATGAATACACGACCATGTTAAATTCATGAATTATGTGTTCTTTTTTTTAAGATTAAATGACTTTCTTATAATTTGCAATAATTGATCCATGTCAATCTTATTGTCTATAAATTATATACAGTATGATATTATAACTTATGAAACAAAATTGTATTTATTAAATACACAAAAAACTTTTGAGTTTTGCATATAAATTATAATAATAATAATTTATTGGAAATTTAAGAACATGTCTTAAACAAATACAAAGTATTTCATAAAAACAAATCAATTTCATTAACAAATTTGCGATAAATATCAACAGATCTTATATTTTTTGGTAAACTATTATACAATTGTAAGGCAAAAATGAAAAAACTTTTATCACAAATAGATTTATGTAAATTTAATTTACAAAATACACCATTTCTTGTGGTCTCGTAGAAAACAATATCAGAATTATATTTATCTTTATATTCATATAATTTAAACCTTATTTTAAATACAACTTTCAAAATTTGCAGTTTTCGACGCTTTTCTAATGAATTGATTTTTAAAAACTTCAGCCTTTCTTCATATGTCATATTATATTGAAACAATTTGTAACAAATAAATTTTGTTACCTTTCTCTGTACTGACTCTAATCTAATTGTTTGTGATTTGTTGAGAATTACAGATAAATTACAAAACTCTAAAATCGGCAAAATATATGACACAAAGTCTTAAAAATGTTAAATCATTTACACGATTGCCTATCACTCTAAGGATTGCAAACTTTTTCAATGCTTTTCCAACAATGTAATCAAAATGAGTATTAAAAGTCATTTTGTTATCATACATAACTCCAACATGTTTATGAATTTTAACATTTGACAAAAAGCTATTATTAATACAATAATTAAACTCAT